TACTAAAATTGTCCCCAAACTTACTTCTGATTCCACTTTTAACTTTTTTCAATTAACAAACTAAGAACCTATGAAAGAGAACCCCAGTTTCCCTAATAATATCTATCTTCCAACATTGGATTTTCCCAAAGTTTCCTGTAACATGGCAACCCAGATGGAATCTTTATTTGGTTGGTTGGGTTTTTGGTTTGGGTGTTGGTTTTTTTGAGACGGGGTTTCTCTGTGTAGTCTTGGCTGTCCTGGACTCGCTTTGTAGACCAGGGTGGCCTCGAACTCACAGAGATCCACATACCTCTGCCCCTCTGCCAAGTGCTAGGATTACAGGCATGTGCTACCATGCCCAGCTCCAGATAGAATCTTAAAGCTTTGAGGACGGAACAGGTGAGTATATTCCAAGATTCTGGACTCCCACTTCATTCATTCACCACTGCTATTCTCTCAATTCTGAGAAGAAGAAAAAAAAAGAAAGAAAGAAAAGAAAAGAAAAAAAACTTGGAAAATCATGTTTAGGGGAAGAAAGGAGAGCTTGGTTAGGATCTTAGCTTGCTTAGCCTACAGGTACCTGACCAAAATAGATGGTGCCAGTGTGACAAGGCACAAGTTCTTTCATCTTATATCTTGATCAGGTCATTTAGGTGTAACTGAAATTTGATCTTGATGGAGAATCCTGTGGAAAATTACCCAACTCTCTAGGAACCCAAGGTCAAGATGGCCTAGCTAACTTATTTAGCTTCTGTTAAACTTACTGCTTGTGGAACACACCCTCCCCCGCTTATCTTAGCTTCTGTTAAACTGCTTACTTGCCCAAAACCTTCCCTTGCAGCTGCCAAACAAGATACCAGGATATGGGTTTTTTGCCTTTAAAAACACCATTATCCTAAACACTTGGGGCTACACTTGAGTCCTAAATACCTGAGTGTAGTGCAGATGGCTACAATAAAGACTGTATAATACTGTGTGTGAGTGGTCTCTCGTGGGCTCCCTGTAATATCAGCAATTAGATCTTAAATATTGTGGTCCCTCTGCAGTTGATAATCTAAGTGGGTAATGTACACACAAGGCTGTTGAAACTTTAAATTGGGTTTAACTTTCTAACAATTTGGTTTCTAAGGGATTAAAATGCCTGCCAACACAGAATGTCAAAGATATCTCAGCCCATGCTATCCTTGTGTAATGATCCAGGTGAGATAGTTAACTGATGCCCATGATGATTAAGCCAATTAAAAAAATCTGAGTCCTGCTTTATTAATGAACAGACCAAGACTGGGCTCATGACTCTGAAAAGTCTCTTCAGGCCCGTGTGTACAGTGTTTTTTAAAGAAAAAACGAAACATAATTACATCAGTGCTGGGGGGTGGTGTATTAAATTAGTGAGGGTTTTAGAGAGGTCTCATAACATCTGCTTTCTTTGCAAGACTCAAAGGTATCTCCAAAATTACCCTGACTCCCTGTAAACTTTTGGGTTTTAGGTCTCTTTTGACAGCCAAAGAAACTCTAGAATAAGGTGTTGCATGCTGCAGCTGATTCCCAGGTCAATGATTTGTCCCTGAGATATATTCCACATTTTTCTACCACTAATTTAAAGTTAACCAGACAAAATATAGGAAACATTCATCAGAGTCATAGGGTGGGAGGGCCACATTGGTTAGGGCCTTTTCCTCATGGCTGCTCATAAGGAAAAGACAAGAAACCAAAAGAAACATCTTTGATCCTACAGATACATAAGCGTCCCATCATTTGTTTGACCCACAGATCTATTAAAAAAAAAAAAGCCTGATATTTTTTCTGCATTTGAGCCTGGACTAACCATAAACTGGAGGATGAAAAAGTAGCCTCCAGCGGGAAATATCAAAAGCATAGTATTGTCTTTTTGTGGGAGGGAAGGCACTAAGATTTTTAGGTTGTTTCCATCTACAAGCACATTCTGATTGCGGCATAGGCTCTAAAATAGTTGCTTCTCCTCAACTCCAAGTCTAGCCAGGAAGGATCTCACATTAGACAAAGGTATAGGCAGATTCTTGTGTTGGCTTAATCCCATTTGATCATGAATGCTGGCTACCATATACTCATGGCAAATTAAAATTTAAAGATATCAGGGAGTGACTCTGAACAAGCCATTATGAGAGTTGTGAGTTTATTACTATATAATTTTAATTTTTAGTGCAAGGGTTACTAGAAATTTAAGGAAAGAATGAGACATAGCCAAGTGTTGGTATCAGATTCTCAAAAGAATGTTATAGTTACATTTACATGAACATATATATATATATATATATATATATATATGGGATTAAAATTTGGCATATATATATATATATATATATATATATATATATATATGTATGTATGTATGTATGTTCCTAACTGGCCAAATGGAAACAAAGAAGGCATTCCTCAACAAGTGACCATACAAGTGGTGGGCATAATACTCTGCAATACATTACAGCTCTACAATAAGTCACTGACCTACACAAGAACATGGGTGAATCTTCAATCTACCTAGATTTTTTAAATGCCAGAGACTGTGTGTGGTGGCAAATATCTTTAATCTCAGCTCTCAGGAAGGGAGGGAGAAATAGCTAGATCTCTATGGAGTTCAAGGCCAGCCTGGTCTACAAACAGAGTTTCAGGACAGCCAGAACTGTTACACAGAGAAACCCTGTTTCAAAAAAAAAAAAAAAAAAAAAGGCCAGAACTCAAATGTTACAAAAATTACAAGACCTTAAGGGAAAAAAAAAAAACCTATTTAAACAGAAAGAAAACAAACAGACCAGTGATTAACAGAAGAAAGGAGGAGGATCTTCCTCAGTAGAGGAAGCTGATGGTGGTGAAACTCTTTGGATGGTAAATGCAGGACTGTATTTGTTTCTGTAATGCCTCTGTTACAGCATCATTATGCTTTCCCATTGATAAATCACACTTGGGGATTAATAAAGGGAAATTTCTTTAATAGTAGCCCAGGACTAATTCTGGCTAACACACCAAGGGGGCCTGCCCCTGCAGAGAAAGCCTTTATAGCTTATACAGGTGAGTTGCCTTTAGGTTCATGGCCCCAGTTAGGTATGTCTTACAGAGACAGAAAACTGCAAGACTTAACAAAGTAAAATATTGCCACGGTTCTGTGAAATAAGCCACAGCTCTTCTTTGGCAGCTGTTAACCAGGGTCACTTACTACTGCAGAATTATGCTCGTCATGTGGGTCTTGATCAGCTCTTAGCCAGGGCCGTCTTTTCTTTACAAGAAGGGGACTGTTTTACCTTCAGTTACACTACGCACTTGTAGAGGAATGTTGCTTCTTGCTACACTTAACTGGCCATTGGTTCTATTATTCTTTTCTCTCTTCTTATTTTTAAAATTAGCTTTAATTCCTGAGAAAACCTGCCCATATCAAAAAGTAGATGTCATCAAAATCTCTTGCTAACAAAACTCAATACTTTGAATTTCTGATTGTCTGCCAAGACTTAGTAATTTATTATTTAAAATATTTTCAACTACCTATCATCTAATACTTGGTTAGGTTCTCTTTCGACTTGTATGAGAAAAAAATCTCAGAAGCTGGGGTCAGTCACCCAGATAACAGGGCCATTTGCTTTCAGCCTCCCATCTGACTTCCTGATTGTTCTTTGGGGCTGCACTAGTGGATTGTCAAGGCCTCACCCCTGGGCCCTTTCTCAGATCCTACCTGGACATACAGCGAAGGCTGTCTCTGGAACAAGCCTGAGGTTTTCCGGGCTGCCTCCAAGTACCCTGGGGACGGTTCCCCTAGGCACAGACGCTGAGGTGGAGTTAAGAAGACACCTGATGTTCCGTGAGGGCTGGCAACCTAGGCGTAGACAACTGGGGTGACCATAAGCCGTCTCATGGTGCCCTGTGAGTGCTGGGGTCACTCTAGGTAAAGAAAACCGAGGCCAGGATAAGTAACCATGTGATGCTTTGTGATGACTGGGGTCACCCTAAGTGTAGACAAGTGAGGCGGGGCTACGTAGCATTGTGGTACTCTGTGAGGCAGATGAGTCGTCCTAGGTCAGCTGAGGCGGGAACAAGCAGCCAAGTAGAGCTCTCTGTGTATGTGTGGATGTGGGGGGAGGGAGGGGTCCTCTCTAATTGTCCCCAACTGGGAAGGAGGACAAGCAGCCACGTGAGGAGGTGAGAGGGGCAGGGTGGGATGGAGGCTGACGCCTGGGGCTCTGTCTTCCACAGAGAGAAAGAATGCAGCCTAACCACGACCAGGAGAACCGGGTCAACAGAGAGGAGGCCTGGAACCCGTGCAACATTCACCTCGACCCCCTCGCGCACGGGGGGCACGGGCGGGGGGCGGGGCCAAGCGCGAAAGCCCTCGCTGATTGGCCGAGGGGCACCGCGGGGGCGCTGGCCCCGCTCCTCAGGGTCAGCGCGAGGGGCCTTTTGAAAGACGCGACTGGCCGGGTGGTTCGCAGAGGCCTGAGGCGAGAGGTCGACGGTGGCAGCGCAGCAATGGCGACCGCGGGCGGCAGCCGACGAGCCCCGGTCCCCGGCCCTAGGCTCGGCCTGCCTCTGGCCGCTCACCTGCCCGCGAGCCTGGGCCGGGAGGGAGCGAAGGACAGCCTCGGGGGTGCGCTGGCCGGGAGGCCGTCGGTTTGGTTCCCTTCCCCTCATGTTCTCCTCTTTCTAGACTTTGCTACTGAGACCCCTCAGCCCTGAGGAGATTCGCGGTTGTGTTGGTGTTTTTCACGCCCGCTCCGCGATCACGAATTCCCCTTTGGAGTTGAGCGTAGGGAAGGAATTCTGAAAAGTTCATTGTTAAAACACAGCCCCAGCTTTGAGGTCAATTAAAGAGGGGTGTGTCTGTAGCCACTGGGAGCATAGGTGTGTGAAAACAAAACAAAACAGTGGAATCAAAGGTTTTGGTGGGTTCCTCTTCCAGGAACTTGTTTACCAAGGTTTTTAGTCATCTGGCAATTTCATCCCACACAGGTGAGAAAACTTCTGGAAACAATGACTGGTTTCAGAGTTCCAGGGTCCCTAGCTTTGCTCAGATGCTGAAAAAGAATTTACCAGTTCAGTCATCAGCTCAGACGGTAACTTTGCCCACCGGATATTCCTCCGAAAGTTGCAACCTGTCGAATATGGCATCCAAGGTTACACAAGTGACAGGTACAACTTGATTCCTATTTGTAGAAGTACATTGGTTCGTTAAGACGCTGGGAATGCCAGTAAGTGCTAAGTGGTGTGTGTGTGTGTATGTAGGTATGTGTATCTGTCTATCGTGTGTGGTCATGTGCCATTTGAAGTTAATAGCTATGACTTATAATAGGAGGGCTGTAGAACTCTTTTTGCAGACCATTCATCTATCTGTCTCTATCTATCTATCTATCTATCTATCTATCTATCTATCTATCTATCTATCTATCTATCTTTATCTAGGTTTTCAAGTCAGTGTTTCTCTGTGTAGCCTTGGCTATCCTGGACTCACTTTGTAGACCAGGCTGGCCTTGAACTCATAGAGATCCACCTGCCTTTGCCTCCCTGAGTGCTGGGATTACAAGTGTGTGCCATTGTGCCTGGCCTGCTGATCATTTATTAATTTCCACCTTCACTGTTGAATTATTTAGTATGACTTACACCCACTCCCCCCGCCATGAGGTGTCAGGGAAAGCACTAAACTAATAATGATGTTATAGTCTACATATCACTTAGTATAACATAACGCAGAGGCAAGCAAACTGTAAAACTTAGGTTGAATTGGAATTAGAGAGCTTATAATGCCTCCGTGGGACAGGCATAAGAGTGGAACACAAAACTAAATTGTAGTCCCAACAAAACCCGATCTATATAATTTCCACTCTAGGCCTTAGTGATCTCATCTGTAAAAATGACTTATCTCTGAAGACGTCACTAAAATTCCATTAGTTTTTCTCTCATTAGTGATATTTCTGTACATGTCCCAAGTATGCCAAAAGGCATATACAGTAACAGGTTGTGCCTATATATGTGCCCAGACTGTCTAGTAAGAACTTGAGGAAAAACACATGCTTATTTAGAAGGGTTTAGTACTTTGTGCTCATTTTCTTTAAACCAAACTGACTAGTGTAAACATTTGTCCTTAGGTAATTTTCCAGAGCCATTGCTTTCCAAAGGTCTTTCATCTATTTCAAATCCTGTCCTTCCTCCAAAAAAAATACCTAAGGAATTTATAATGAAGTACAAACGTGGAGAGATAAATCCTGTGTCAGCCTTGCACCAGTTTGCACAAATGCAGCGTGTTCAGCTTGACCTTAAGGAAACTGTAACAACAGGCAAGTTCAAAGTTGTGTCATTTATCTGAGCATAGAAATTTTTTTCAGTAAAAGTAGGGCATATAAGCAGGTTCTGCATTTACATATTACATGCAGTGTTAGATTAATAGGTATTTTGTTTTGTGGTGCAAATATTTGTGCAATAAACACCCACTTCCAGTGATGTTAAGCATTTGTCCTGAAATCTGCGATTGTGACACCTAAGGAAAATATGGTCAAGTTTGGCCCCTGAAATTCCAGGATTTGATAAGAAAAGGTCACTTGCATGATTGATGGCACCTCTACTTATCGTGTCTGTGATTTCTACCACTCTCCTTTAAACCCTTAAACATGAAACACTTACTACCCTGTTATACTTGTGGAAGGCTACAGGAGTATAATCAGTTACAAGCAGAAAGAGGCTTCTAATCTCCATGTTGTGGACAGTTTCTGAGAACATTAGGAACTTGGGAAAAATAAGAGAATAAGTGCTTGTGAGTCTGAAGCCAGCCTGGTCTACAAATTGAGTCAGGAAAGCCAAGGCTACACAGAGAAACCCTGTCTCAAAAAAAAAGAAAGAAAGAAAAAGAAAAGAAAAAAAGAAGCAGCATTGACTGAGATGTGATAGTAAAATCACAGCTTTAAAATATTTGGGTGCACACATACAATTTTGTTTCTGTATTTTTCAACTTTTGCCTGTATCTATCTTAAAGATGGTATCTCTACAACATAGGCTAAAGCTCTGGAAATTTTACTGAGGATTCTTTTCATAAGTTTCTTTGAGCAAAATACCAGTAAACTTAACATGACAAAATGTGCAATGTATTATTTTCATTAAGTAAACTGTGGTCTCAGTCTTTAACATTTTAGCTTTCATACATTATTCTCAGATCACCCTTGGAAAATGTAAGCTATTAGTAAGAAAGATAAAAATTCCCAATGAAAACGTTTCACTGCTCTGAGGATTGCCACTGCTATTCATTTTGTGATCTTAATCTGATTAAGTAAGTTTGTGAACCTAGGTTATAAACAAATTAAGGTTCAAAGCTCAGCATTCTGATACAGAACATTTCTAACAAATTTTATGTATGTAATATGCATAAGAATCACTTGAACTACTTGCTAAGAATGTAAAATGTTATTTGGGTTAATAAGTTTAGTTGGAAATAACAGGTAAACATGGAAAAATGGTAAATTGAGATGTTTAGGTAAGGGAGGGGAGGAAGCAAGATTAGCCAGATACGGACTTAAGTTCCTAGTAAAATGTTGAGAGAATGTTTTAGAAACAATTAGTATAACATGTAAATATAAAGGAGGTCATTTAATACTAAATAGTTTTCCAGAATTTTATACTGGAATATTTTACTAACATTCAGACATTACTTATAAGAATATACTGTGAATGATTATAGCACTCATTCTGGATTCTTTTTCAAGGTAATGTTATGGGACCATATTTTGCTTTTTGTGCTGTGGTGGATGGTATTCAGTACAAGACAGGACTGGGACAAAATAAAAAGGAATCTAGATCCAACGCAGCAAAATTAGCTCTTGATGAACTTTTACAACTGGATGAGCCTGAGCCAAGAGCTTTAGAACCAGCAGGTAAGTGCAGCTGACTATTTGTGTTTGACTATGTGTTGTTTTTCAGAAGTCTGTGAAAGACTTATGTTTAAAAAGTCTTAACAACTATGAAGTGACATAATTTGAATAATTTCTCTCAATTGCTGTTTTCTGGAATGTTTCATAGCTACAATGATACTGTATTTTCATCACCAGAATATATAATTATGTTTTGCCAGTAGTCATACTAAAGGATGTAAGAGTAGTATCTTCTGTGGTTTTGACTTAAATTTTCTTATTGATGTGTAATGATGAGAAACTTTTCATGTGTTCATTTGATATTATCTTTTTAAGGAGGAGAGACAAATCATGTTTAAGTCATTTCTTCCATTTTCAATTCTATTGTTACTGCTTTTAAATCTATAACTATTCTGGGTATGTGAGGGGGTAGGGCTGAGAGGTGAGAACGGAGGGGTCTGTGATCAGGCTGTAAAGTGATTAATTAAATAATGAAGAAAAAATTTAAAGATATATGATGTACAACTTTGTTCATAGTACCTTTGATGTATAAACATTTTAGTTTTTATAAATCTATTTTTCTTTTGTTGTCTATATCTTTGGTGTCATACCCAAGAAATTACCACCAAATCCAGTGTCATAAAGTTTTCTCACTGTGGTTTCTTTTTAGAGATTTATAGTTTTAGCTATTACATTTAAGAGCTTTGATAAATTTTAGTTTTGTATACGATGTTAGTGTCCAATGTCATTCTTTGGCTTGTGAATAGTAGTTTTGCCAGGAGCATTTGTATTTTGTAATGCCCTTAGCACGTACCCTGTTAAAAACAAGTGGATTATGTCTTTCTGGGCGCCTTTCTGGGCATTCTTGCCTATGTGTCCGCCCTGATACCAGTAATACACTGTTTTCATTAGTGTCCTCTTGTTTTCACTACATAGTTTTGGAATAGGTTTTGAATTTGAGCATGTGGATTCTCTAATTTTAATTTTGGTTTTTACTTTTTTAACTGTTTAGCTGTTTGTACTTGGTATTTTACAATGAAGTTTTTCTTGTACAGTTTTGTTTTACTTAGACTATTTGTTCATAATAAGCAGAATTTAATGTCTTTAGTTTTTCTTCTGCTTGAGCCAAAATACTCTTGAGTAAATAGATTTTAAATCTTCCTTCTAAGTTTTCAGCTTACTTTTCTCAAGTCCAAGGTGAATGTATCTAACTTTAGTTAGCATTTTCTCTAGTATGAGGTCTCAGGTTGTATCACTACCCTTTCCTTGCTTGTTTCTATATCTTTAGCTGGTTTTTCATCTTAAAAGTAGTCTAGAGGAGTACTTTCTGCTTTCTTTTATCTAAGTTAAAAAAAAAAAAAAAAAAAAAACCCTAGCTTCCAGAACCTCTTTATTTAAATTTTTCTGATTTTTTTTCCTTACATGTCCCTCTGGTATGCCATGAGCTTTTCTTGGTTTTAGGGATGAACTGGGTTATTTGGGGGGGGGGGATTGCATTCTTGGGTTACTATTACTGCAGAATAAAGTGCTAACTCTCAGCTCTTTATTATGGTGTCCTTATTGTCTCCTTATGTTTTTGTTTGGTTTTGCTTTCAGGACCGCCTCCTATCCCTGCAGAGCCTGTTGTTACACCTGAAGCAGCATATGTTTCTAAAGTACAATATGGTAAGCTATGTTCTTTTCTTTTTTAGTGTTGTGTTTTGAAGATTAACCCAATGAAAAATTAAAATGCACAGTTATGAAAATATATTTTAACATTTTATTCAGACCTTTCATGCTTCTATTAAAAGGGTATTTTTTCCTTTAAAAATTACTTGTAGTGAAAGAAATGAGGTTGGAGGAAATGAGGAAATATTTAAAAATGGATTTGATCCAGTTCTGATGGTTTAGCCATATGTAACTCTAGCTGTTCTGGGAGCTGAGGCAGGAGAATAGCAAACTCAAAGCTGGCCACTCCACCAAACAGCCTGGCAGTTTAATGAGACTTGTCTAAAAATGTAAGAGGGGTCTTGGGCATAGCATGGTGGTACAGTACTAACCTACATGGTGTGAGAAGTTTGGCTCACTTGTCAGAACCACACAAATAACCGGGGATGGGTCCTTTTAATAAGGAAGTATATTAATAAGACACGTACATGGTACACATATGTACATGCTGACAAAACATAAAAACAAATCTTTAAAAATCATATACATACACATTTATCTGTATATATATATATGTGTGTATATACATCTTCAGTTGAAGTTACTATTCATGTGATCAAGGACTAATTAATTTTCATTGTACTTTTAATTTCTTCATTTTAAAAATTCTCATTACAGCAATTACCTCATCAAATTATTGTGAGGATTGAGTTGATAGGCATAAAATAATGAGTACCTGGCACACAGAAAGTATTTATTAAATTAGAACCTCTGTTCTTTCATTGTGACACTGTCACTCAGTATTATATAGCAGTTGTGTCCTTGGCTGGCAGACTATTGTCTCCTTGAAAACAGGGCATTCTTCTTAATTTCTATACTTATGATATCTGAAAGAGACTTCAGACTTTAAGGTACTTGTAAAATGAAATTTTTTCATGTTTTTTTTCTTTTTAATTAGGCTTTTTTTTTCCTCTCAGCATTGTTATTCTGTTCATCTTTCTAAGACAAAGAAGTCTCAAATGCCCATGTGTTTTCATGAACAGAACAGGTAAAATAAGCACATTCAAAAGGCAAAAGACAGAAGTCCACCAAGAGATGGATGGGTATAGACACTTGACCTCAAAGTGCAAGTCTTCATGAACAGCCTTGAGGGCTCAGACCACAAGAATGGTTGCATAATGTTGGAAGAGGTTTTGCCATTCCTATTATCCCTTGTAAACATTTTTAATTACCAAGGGGATAGATTGCAAACAATAAATAACCTAGATCACATTACCCTGGGAAAACAGGTCATAGTAGATGAGTCAGAAAGGATATAGTTTTTAAAATAATGTAGAAGTAGAGTCCAGCTTGGGAGCTTAAGTTTTGGAGCCAAATGTAAGAAAAAGGTAGGTGGAGAGATGGATCAGCAGTAAAAACACTTTCTGCTTTTGTAGACGACTTGAGTTCTTTTTCCAATTTTTTTATTATTTTATTATTAATTACACTTTATTCATTTTGTATTGCCCCATAAGCCCCTCCTTCCTTCCCTCCCTATCCCACCCTCCCTCCCCTTTCTGCATGCATGCCACTCCCCAAGTCCACTGATAGAGGAGGTTCTCCTCTCCTTTCTGATCTTAGTCTATCAGTTCTCATCATAAGTGGCTGCATTGTCCTCTACCGTGGCCTGGTAAGGCTGCTCCCCCCTCAGGGGGAGGTGATCAACAAGCAGGACAATCAGATTATGTCAGAGGCAGTCCCTCTTCCCATTACTATGTAACCCACTTGGACACTGAACTGCCATGGGCTACACCTGTGCAGGGGTTCCAGGTCATCTCCACAAATAGTCCTTGGTTGGAGTATGATTTTCTGGGAAGTTCCCTGTGTTCAAATTATCTTGTTCTGTTGCTCTCCTTGTAGAGTTCCCGTCCCCTCCAGCTCTTACTATTTCCCACTTCTTACATAGAATTCCATTCACTCTGCCCATCAGTTGGCCATCAGGCTCAGCATCTGCTTTGACAGTCTATACTGGAGAAGCTTTCAGAGGCCCTCTGTGGCAGGTTTCAAGGTTGTTTCCTGTTTTCTTCTGGCTTTCAGAGGCCCTCTGTAGCAGGTTCTGAGGTTGTTTCCTATTTTCTTTTTCTTCTGATGTCCATCCTCTTTGCCTTTCAGGATGGGGATTGAACATTTTAGTTAGGGTCCTCTCTTTTGCTTAGTTTGTTTGGATGTACAGATTTTAGTGGGCTTATTCTATGTTGTATGTTTGTATGAGTGAGTATATCCCATGCGTGTCTTTTTGCTTCTGGGACAACTCACTCAGGATGATCCTTTCCAGGTCCCACCATTTACCTGAAAATTTCATGATTTCCTTATTTTTCATTGCTGAGTAATACTCCATTGTATAGATGTACCACAGTTTCTGCATCCATTCTTCAGTTGAGGGGCATCTGGGCTGTTTCCAGCTTCTGGCTATTACAAATAAAGCTGCTACAAACATGGTTGAGCAAATGTCCTTTTTGTGTACTTGAGCCTCTTTTGGGTATATGCCTAGGAGTGGTATGGCTGGATCTTGAGGAAGCGCTATTCCTAGTTGTCTGAGAAAGCGCCAGATTGATTTCCAGAGTGGTTGTACAAGTTTACATTCCCACCAGCAGTGGAGAAGGGTTCCCTTATTCCCAGCACACACATTGGGTGTCTCACAACTGCCTGTAATTCCAGCTCCAGGGGATCTCACACCCTCTTCTTGTCCCCATGCCCCCCCCCCACACACATACAGAAAAACAGGCCTATGTATAAATCTTTAAATTAAGATGAAGAGCTGTTTTAGTATATTGAGGGTTTTTTTTTTTTGTTTTGTTTTGTTTTTTGTGGTGTTCAGGATTGAACCCAGGAAAATATTTTAAGCACTTTACCACTGAGCTATATTTTCATCTTCTATTACACACTGATGAGCCTCAAATGCTCTTTATGATATTTTTAATATGCTGCAAAACATTTTCTTGCCACATTCATAATTTGTATTCTGTTGGTACTAATTTTCAGTGGGTTTTTTGTTTGTTTGTTGTTTCTTTTTTTTTTTTTCCTTTTGGTTTTTCAAGACAGCTCTGGCTGTCCTGTAGACCAAGCTATCCTGCTTGTTCCCCTTAGTTCTGGGATTAAAGGCATGTGCCACCATTGCCTGACTCAGTGTTCCTTTTATATCATAAAATAAGACATAAAGTAATTGCAAACCATATGTATTTTCATTTTTGGAATCATTAAAGAGAATTAAAACCAATAAACAGCAACCTTCAGTGTTCAAGGCTAAGTTAATACAAAGAATGGACTTAGCTGTAATGCTCAGGTAGTAAGGTTAATACTGGCATCATTCATAAGAAGTTATTCACAAAGTGCTGTAATTTATCTTCTTAATAACCATGACAAAAAGTGTAAATTTGTCTACATATCTCTATAAATTACTAACAAACAAATGTAACTGCAAAATAAGACATCTCTTAGAAAAATAGTAGTGCTCTTGAAATTTGTACTGCTTTTTATTTTTTTCTAGAAGGGAGACAAGTCCAGTATGCAAAGATTTCACAACTTGTTAAAGAAACATTTGGTCAACTAATTTCTAGTCACTCACAATATCTGAAATGTAGCAGTTCATTGGCTGCTTTCATTATTGAAAGAGGTAAGTCCATGTATTTGTTATATATTACTTTTCAGAAAAATTAATACCTTAATGATTTGAACTGCACTTCATAATATTTGGTTAATTATCGTTGCTTCTGTAGACAGTGATTTTACATTGATTTGAAGTGATCTTTTCTGTAGGAGAGTCATTAAATGCAAAGCTTCTTAAAGGTGGAGCCTAAATGGACTGAATAGAAACCAATAGAGAGCTGCAGAATAATGAAAGGCCTAACAATTAAACCTTTCCCAATCAGAAGCAAGATCGTCTCCATAGCAACCCTCATTATAGCAGACACTTAAGAGAGAGCTATAAAAATTAGCATGTTTATTTTCAAGTAAGAAAATATCAAAATATTCAAGAGTATGTTCCTGTGGACATTTTGATGTTACAGTTCTATTTTAACTTTATCCTGCCTTTTAATGTTTAGAGTTTGAATTTTGTATTCAAGATGTTGATGAAACAATTTTTGCTATAAGATACATTATATATGTCATATATATATATATATATATATATATATATATATATATATATATATTAGTTTAAGATGGTGAAAAAAATTTAACAACAACAACAAAAAACTGTGCTTAATCATGCAAGCATGCGTGAGAAGCTGGATGTGCTACACCCTTTTGTAATCCCAGAACTCAGAAGTCTGAGACAGGAGGTTCATAACGTCAGGGTCTGCCTGGAATTACATAGTTAGGCTATATCTTTAAAAACAAGTTATAAGAATTTATAGATAGAAGTAACTGAATAGATAATCTGCAACAGGCAAGATGTAAGCTGAGACTTTAAATGCTAGTGAGGTTTCCCTGAGTAGAGGAAAGGAAATATTTTAGACATAGGAAGGTATGAGAAAAAAGAGTGGTGGAAAATATTTATTGGGACAACAAGGAGGTGAATTTATTGATAATATATGGTTGTATATGTACAGGAGTAAAATAAAATATTTTATTTAGATTGATAAGATTGATATTTAGATTGATAAGATATGGTATTAGACTACAAGGTGACTTAAAAGCTAGTAAAAAAAATTAGATTTAATAAGATTGATAATGCAAAAGATATTTAGATTTTGGATAATCACAGTTGAAGCTGTTACATTGGAATTCCTCTGGAAGAACTGGGAACATGAGCAAAAAGAGAAAATCCATATTTAAATTGATAATCTGAAGGTAGAAATAATATAACAGGATCAATAAAAACCATCACTTCAAGTTCACATGGTAGAATAGTGTCTCCAGGTGCACAGAAATTCTTGAAAGTGACAAGAAGCTATATGAAGAATGTAAGAAAGAATAAAAATGTTTTAGGAAGTACAAGTGTGTATGTGGGCTGGTAAAATCTGAGGGACATCAAGTGAACATTCCTGCAATAACTCATTTGTACTCTGAGACTTCAATACCTTACTCACCTGTTATTTTAGTTGGGTTGTAAGAAGCTAACAGGAAAATGGATGGATCTGGAAAGTACTTATTAAGTGAGCTGATAAAGGCCCACATGCAGATTTTAACTTTAGTGCTTGTATGTGTGTAAATAAGTGGGAGTGGGTATAGGTTCTGAAACTAGATAGGAGACCACAAGAGGAAACAAAAGTATTAAGGAAGAGGAGTAGGGGGCAAAAGGATACGTGTGACATAAAAGCAGAAAGCAACCTACTGAGGTGGAAAGCAGTAACATAGAGAAGTGGACTGAAGGAGGAAAATCAAAAGCAAAATTTGTTTGAAAAATACCATAATAAAAAATGAGAAAATATTTTCTGACTTTGGCATGCTATTCATGTAGATAGGCTTTTGTCAGTTATGTACCACAGGGCTCACCATTGATGTCAGTTCTGAACACATTTCACAATGAAATGGGCTGGGGAAATGTCTCAGCAGCTAAAAGCAATCATGAGGACCAGAATTTGAACCCCAACACCATACAACAAGCTAGGTGTTCCCTTTAAATTTCTGTAACCCCAGTTCCAGGCAGGGTGGAAACAAGAGGATTGCTGAGGCTTGCTGGCTTCCAGCCTAGCCGAGAGGTAAGCCCCAGGTTCAGGAAGAGACCCTGCATCAGAGGAACAGGCAGAGAGCAATGAAGAGCAGTCTGGACATCCTCTTCTGGCTTCTGTACATGCACACACATGCAGCTTGCACACCTACACACAATTTCTAGGGCAGCTCTGCTGACAGCCTGTTTCCTCAGGGTGATAACTTGCATGATTTCTTCTGAGGTGAATGCCCTTTACCCCCTTAGGTTGCAGCTTTAACTCAGCACCTACCTTACATGATGGCCTCTTATTTTTCACATCAGCTCCATAATTGTTTCCTTCAAAGCACAGATTACAGTTTGGGGTGTGTTTAGCCTCCCTACCCCCTTGCTTAGTAGAAGTATGTTTTTTTCAACATTGAACCTAACTAGCATCTATTCAGACCTGGTACACACTGGGATGTTTCTAATTTCTGTTGAATTATTAAGTCCTTCAGATTGCAAATGTAAATTGAACTTTGTTTGAAAGGCTGAGACTAGAGATTATCTGAAATCATCAACATGGAAGCAAAAGTTCGAAAGAGAAAGATATTTAGAATTTTGTTGTTATTTTTGGAGGAAAAGCAATGAGCTGCCCACTAGGCTCTTAAAAGGATCCATGATCGGGATGTGAGAGGAGAAAAGACTGCCAGTTTGAATTGCACATTTTTAAAGTATGGAATTTCAGGTGTGAGCAAAGTAAAATGTGAATGGAAAAAAACTACTGAGAAATACATAGGTGTTTACTTTATTTAAAATAAACCAGTGCAATAGAACAGAAAAAAAAATAATTTAGTTTATAGAGAGTTTGAGTAGATTGATGAAAATCAGAGCTATCACAGAGAGTGTTCAGGACAGAAGAGCCTTGTTAGCTGTATACATAGTGAAAGTTAAGGTTATTTGGTAATTATGTTGCTTGTATTAAAAATACATGATGTACTATGACATAAGACAGTTGCCATTTATATTGAGCTAACTACTTTTTAAATTTCATTTCTGAAAACACTCTAAGACCCCTGGAACTACTTTTCTTGTTATTATCTGATTGAAAAATGGCTATAGGGACTGGAGATATAGCTCAGTAGTTAAGAGCACTACTGCTTTTGCAGAGGACTTGAGTTTGTTTCCCAGCACCCACTTTGGGCGACAACTCATAGCTACCTGAAACTCCAGTTTTAAGGGCTCCAACACCTTCTGGCCTCTTTGGGCACTGGCATACATGTGGCATGAAAACAGATGTATGCATACACATAAATAAAAAATAAACTTTTAAAAATGAGGATAAACATGGTATATTCTCACTTATATAGACCTACAAAATATGATAAACATAATGAAATCTATATACCTAAAGAAGATAAACAAGAAAATGGACACAGGGTAAGATGATCAATCCTCACTTAGAAAGACAAATAGGATTTGCATTGGACATATGATAGGAGTCTACCACAGAAGGCCTTTGAAAGACTCTACCTAGCAGTGTTTCAAAGCAGATACTAAGACTCATAACCAAACCTTCGGCAGAGTTCAGGGAATTATATAAAAGAAGGGGAGTTAGTATGACATGGAAAGGATAGGAGCTCCACAAGGACCAAATATATCTGGGCACAGGGGTCTTTTCTGAGACTGACACTCCACCAAGGACCATGTATGGGTATAACCTAGAACCTCTGCTCGGATGTAGCCCGTGGTAGCTCAGTAACCAGTTGGTTTCCCATAGTAAGGGGAACAGGGACTATTTCTGACAGGAATTCAATGGCAGGCTCTTTGACCTCCCCACACCCCAAGAGAGGAGTAGTCCCACTAGAGAAGGACTTTGCAGCCAGTCCTGAAGATACCTGATAAAACAGGGTCAGATGAAAGGGGAGGAAGTCCTCCCCAATCAGTGGACTTGGAAAGGGGCAGGGAAGAGATGAGGGAGGAAGGGTGGGATTGGGAGAGAATAAGGGAGTGGGATATAGAGTTAATAAAATATAACTAATAATAAAAAATTAAAATTAAAAAAATGAGGATAAAGGTAGAATTTGAACGTAGGAGGGAGGTTAAATAACAACTTGCTGTTGTTTTCAGCTGGACATCATGAGGTTGTGGCTGTAGGCACAGGTGAATACAACTACAGCCAGTGTATCAAGCCGAATGGAAGGGTGCTGCATGATACTCATGCAGTTGTTACAGCAAGAAGGTCTCTCCTTAGGTAAGGTAAAGGTTATGTTAATATTCTCAGACCAAATTAATGACATAGAAGTTTCCCTGTTTAAAAGTGGAGCTTTACTCATAGGAGAGCAAAGAATTTAACAACCTGTAATCCAAATCATCTGATATTTTTATGTTGTGGTAACCGCACCATGGTAATTACAATGTCTTCTCTAGATTTTGATGACTTCTTTGTGAACTAAGTTTTAAGAGTCCTACAAGATTTTTTTTAAGTTAGAAATGCCATCTTTGAATGATTAAAGTTATTGGAAAGTGAAACTTTAGGTTTGCACAAAGTAAGTTTGATTTTATTTCACTTCTAAATTATATATACTTATCCAAAGGCAGCACCAAAAAATAACAGGCTTCCAGTTGCAGATTCTTCACTTACTCTACTTCAATTTAATGGCAGGGTATAAACAATGTATCCTTTAGACTAGCCGTTCTCATGTGGGTTGTGACCCATTTGGGGTTGGATGACCCCTTCACAGGGGTTATAGATCAGATATCTTGAATATCAGATATTTATATGACAGTTCATATCAGTAGCAAAATTACAGTTAGGAAGTAGCAACAAAATAGTTTTATGGTTTGGGGGTCACCACAACATGAGGGCAGTAAAGGTTGCAGCATTAGGAAGGTTGAGAACCACGGCTTTAGACTGATAAAGCAAGAGAAGGAAAAGGGCTGAAGTAGATTCCTCTTCTCCACCCCCAGATCAATCATTCTGCTCCTTACAAGAGGAAGGAATAGCAGGTGATTCAAAAATGATGTTTCTGTATATAAAAACATGAACAGTGGGAATTGAGTGTTACTTCCAAAATATACACCAACTTTTTATTCTCTTAAGCCATTAAACTTGACAAATTTCCATTATAGTAAATATCAAATCCAAGTTGAAGTAAGCAGACTGAACAGTTATTGGCATTCTGCTGCGTTTGTTTAATTTCTGTATTTTCACTGTTGTTCTTTTTTTTCTTGCTGAAATATTTAAAAACAAATTTTAGACCTGTTTTACATGAAAAACAATGCAAGTAGGAATCTTTCATAAGGAAAGAGTTGTACAATCTTAAAAGTTGTTAGAGAAGTGTGGTGGGAAGATGGGGAAGTGAGCTTGCTCTGCAAGATTTTAGGCCCACTTGCAATCTTCAGAATGTGAATACAGATCTGAACATGGCTGCATGTTCCTGTGACTTTAGCCTTAGGGAGTGGAGACAGCCAGATCCTGAGAGCTCAATGGCCAGCTGACGCAGCCTAAACTGTAAGCAGTTTCCCCACACAATGGGGAGGAACAATTGAGGAATATGCCTATCACCCTGTTCCAGTATTTGCATGTGCACTCTTATGTACATTTACTCCACACATGCACACATTATTGTGGAAGCCCAATAGGACGTTGTAACTCATTGTTGTCCATTCCTCCTTGATGCTGATGGAATTATCTGACCTTAATGCTACCTCTCAAGTGTGAAGTTTCTCTCATGCTTGGCATTGTTTCACATTGGTGTTTAATCCTATATTTCTGGTGATGAGAGTAAGTACAGTATCCCTTAAAGTCATGATGTTTTTTTAAGTAAAGTAATATCGGTCCCTCACCGATAAGTTGCTGTCTTTCAGGATATCTACTTCACTTCATAGTACAACCTGTAATGTTCCCTGTGTTGTATCTGTGCTTTTGGGTTTTTCTTCAGCACCACTAAGAAACACTGTTGATGATGGTGATGGTAATAAAATAGGAGTAACTTGTTTTGATAGGAAAAAGTGGACCCGTCAGAACTATCTCAGGAAGAAAGGGGCAACCTGGAGAAATGGGTCCTTTGCAAGATATGATAGTTAGAGACTGAAATGTGCAGTGTGGAATAGTAGGGAAGCAGTGACTCTTGAATATAAGCTACAGAGCAGCCCAAGAAGTCCAGAACTTGAGGGACTTAATTCTCACTAGATAAAGTTATAAGACTCTTATCAATATCAAAGCTTTTGACATACAGAGACATTTTTCATGTTACACTTAGTTCTGATATTCACTAAGATATATCTGCAATAAACTTTATTACTTAAATTTACAACATTTATTTTAGGTACTTTTATAGACAGCTTCTACTCTTCTATAGCAAAAATCCTGCCATGATGGAAAAGTCAATCTTTTGTACAGAACCAGCTTCTAATCTGCTTACTCTGAAACAGAACATCAACATTTACCTCTACATGAACCAGTTGCCTAAAGGATCAGCCCAGATCAAGTCACAATTGTAAGTATTATGGAAGTTGTTTTTAAAAGATAGCAGAATGGTCATTGTATGCATGTTCTGAATCCCTCTCAGTCAGCTTGTGTGTATCCATATTCTCTGTGTAGCCTTAAGTTGTTATCTATGGGCTTCAGGGCACAACAGACCTCTACTCCCTCTTCACTCACTCTGATCTATGACCAGTTTTAAAGAATACTTTTTATTCTTTTGAAAAATAGAATTTTTCTTTTAACATTTTTCAAGCTTTAGGAAATTATGGGTCTTGAAGTATACATATTCAAATATGGAGATTAAAAACTGTTCTATGGTCAAAATGTCATTGCTTTGATGAATCTGTATTATCAGATAAAATGAACTCTGAACAGTACGGATAAGAACAGTGAAAAAAGAAAAACCCACCCTTAGCCTGACCATCTAGAAACAGCCATGCGCAGCATTTTTATAAAAATTCTAGGAATTGCTTTGAAAATAAGATCTATGGGTAGATAAAATTCAAGAAAAATAACTTTAGATTTTATTAACATTTTACCATAGGTGCATTTTTAATAAAATATTTTCCATTTCATTATTTTATTGTTTTTAAAATTTTTATATAGAAGAAACCTGTTCTCAAAGTACAAGAACAAAAATTTTTATTATTATTGGTTTTTTTGAAATAGGGTCTCATGTATTCCAGACCAGGCTTGAGCCCATTATATAGCCAAGGCTTGTCGTAAATTTTTTGGCAAGGGTCAGCAGCTCAGTAAATAGCCCTGGCTGGCCTTGAACTTGCAGTGAAGTTCAAGACTGGCCTTGAACACATGGAGATCTGCCTGCTTCTGCCTCCCAAGTACTGGAGTTAAAGGTGTGGGCCACCACACTAGGCCTTACCATTCTGTTGAAAGGGATATAAAGAATGATGATAGTAGGAAACTGCTGAAGCTCAGTGTGTTTGGTAACTTGTTTTGCATTAATTTTGGGGGTAGTAAATTCATTCCTACTTTCTTTGTGTTTGCATCTGTTCATGTTACTAGAATTAAGTGTGTGCTGGTAGATTAAACCAGTTAGAGCACAGTTCTTGAGAGGATGCACATTTTACTTTTAACAATTTTGTATTTCTTAAAACTTTTTTCTCTCTCTAGACGCCTTAATCCACATTCTATTTCTGCGTTTGAAGCCAATGAAGAGCTGAGTCTCCATGTGGCTGTTGAAGGCAAAATTTACCTGACTGTTTACTGTTCTGCAGACGGGGTTAATAGAGTAAACAGTATGTCCTCCAGTGACAAGCTGACAAGATGGGAGGTGCTTGGTGTACAGGGAGCATTGCTGAGTCACTTTATACAACCAGTTTATATCAGCAGTATACTTGTTGGTGAGTTTTAGCACATTTTGGGTCTGTTCAATGAAAAAAAATCCCCATATTTGACATTCTAGTATACAGCTTTTGCATACACTTGCATTCCTTTCTTAGAGGATGCGCTAATTCTGGTTTTCTGTTCTGTTTTGGTCTACATGTCAGGGGTGTGGGTGTGGGTGCTTGCATGCGCACATGAACTATGCTGTTTTTCATGATGGTTCTACTGGATAATTTGAGATCAGGAATTGTTTTACTGCTCATGATAATTTTGGTTCTTTGGATCTTTGTGTTCATAGGAATTATCTGATTGTCCTTACTAATTCTGTGAAGAATGCCATTTTGTATTTTGAAGGGCATAGCATCAACTTTGTAGATTGGTTTTGGATATCCATTTTAGTAATATATATTTTACCTATATATGGATATGAGAGGTCTTTCCATATTCTGTCTTTCTTAATTTCTTTGTTTATTGTTTTAAAGTTTTCATTACAAAGATACTTCATCTGCTTGGGTAGATTTATTCTTAAATACTGTTTTAAAAAGCTATTGTGAATAGGATTCTTTTCCTGATTTCTTTCTCTGCAAGTTTGTTAGTGGTGTATAGAAATAGTAGTGATTTTTAACTTATCTTGAGAAAAGTGTTTGTCAGATTTAATAGTTTTATGATCTACTACTTAGAGTCTTTTAAATGTATTTTATGATTTCTTTATTTTTATGTGTATGAGTGTTTGCCTGCATGTTTGCATATGTATCATGTGCGTTCTTGGTGCGCACAAAGACCAGGAGAAGGTGTCAGATACCCTGGCATTGGAGTTACAGGTGTTTGTGAGCAACTGTGTGGATACTGAGAACCAAATTGGCTCCTCTGCAAGAACAATAAATGCACTTGACTGCTGAAACATATTTCCAGCTCTATTTAGGGTTTTTGTTTATAGAAACATGTTTGCAAATAGGGATTTTGACTTATTTTTATCCCGCCTTCAAATTCTAGCTACAGAATTTGAAATTCTGTACAAATTCTACACTACATTGAGTAAGTGTACATAGGTAGACATCCTTGTTTCATTGCTAACTTTAGAGGAAACACTTTAAGGTTTTTCCCTAGTTAGTATAATTCTGGCTGGAAATCTGTCACATAGTGAATGTTTCTTCTATCCTGATTTTTTCAGGGCTTTCCTCATTTAGATATACTCAACTTTGTCAAAGGGTTTTCCTGTTTCTATTGAGATTATGGTATGATTTCTATCCCTAAGTTTATGTTCTGTATTATAAAGCATCCATTTGTATATGTTAAACATCCATCTTTAAATGCCTGGAATGAAACCAACTGAACATGGTACACATCCTGCATGTGTCATTGAGTCTGGTTTGCAAGTGTTCCATTGAGAATGTTTACATCTGTGTTGTTTGAGGCAATCGGTATATAGGTGTTGTGTCTTTGTCTGGTCTTTGTTATCATAGAGCAATCTTGGTAGTGTTTCATCTCTTTCTGTCTTGTAGACTAGCTAGTATTAGTTCTTAAAAGCTCTAGTAGACTTCTATAGTGACTCCATTTAGTTCTGGGCTTTCTTCATTGGGAGACTATTACTGGTTTAAATTCATTGCTCATTACAGATTTTTTTTAACTTGTTAATATGCTCTTGATTGAATTTTGGTAGATTATATATGTCAAGGAACTTCCTGTTTCTTGAAAATTTCCTGGCATTTAGGAATCTAGGCTTTCAGAGTATTCCCTAATGAGCATTTGGTCTCATCGCTTAATTATATTGAGTCTTTTGATTACTTTGGTGAATGATTTACTAATCTTGTTTATATTTTCAAAGAACCTATTCTTTGTATTTTCTTTAATTCATGCCATTAATTCATCAGGATCCTTAAGTATTTCTTTCTGTTTGTTGCTTTTGAGTTCAGCTTGTTTTGTTTTCTAAGACCTTTAGAGACATTGTTAACTTGCTTGAGATCTCTCTGATTTTCTGCTTGTTTGTTTGTTTGTTTGTTTGTAACAGGATCTCATGTAGACCAGGCTGACCTCAAACCCCCTATCTAACTGAGACTAGCCTTAAACTCTTGATCTCCCAGCCTCTGCTTCTCAAATGCTAGGCTTACAGACATGTGACACCACACCTGGCCTTTCAATGTGTATGTTCCACTTCATAATGCGTGTAATGAAACAGAAAATAGTTATCATTTATTTTGCTAATATTAGCTTTGTTTTAAGTGTAGAGGAAATACATTAATTTGATTTGTAATTCAAAAGATTTAGCAAAAAGTCTCTCTCCCACTATAGTTCCTTAGGCACCCATTTTACTTCTGTGAAAGCATATATTATAGTTAGTTTTTTATTTTTTCTTCTATGGATGGTTGAGTTTACTTTATTGGAATAAGTGTATGTATTCTTTTTTTATGTTTTATATTTTGAATAAATATCAACAGGAACATCCAATTTATACTTTTCTGTATCAGCATTATCATTTAATAAAATCTTGGAAAGTTTTACATATGTTTATGTAAATAACTTCTTTATTGTTCCTTTTGTATTACAATGTATATCATAATTTATTTAACTAGGTGCCAGTTGATTAATTTCTGAATTGTATCTTATCTTGTGTAGTTACTAAAATGTTGTGAATGATCTTTTCATACTTATTATTCATACATGTGAAGTATGTTTATAAGATGAAATCCTGGAAGTAAAAGTTAGAATTCAAATTTTAAAATGTTACTAAATAGTCCCTGGTTCACCTCCCCACTAACTGTGGGCAAGAATACCTGTTTACTCACACTCAGTCATCGTCCTCTCTTACAATCCGTTGGGAACTACGACTTGATACTTTTTTAGATTGCATTGTTGACTGATGTTCTTACTATCCAGTTTCAGTCAATTTGAATTCTTCCTCAACACATGTCAAATTTTTCTAAATCTTCTGTAGTAGATTCTCTTTGTTCTTAATAAATGTGTACGGGATCTAGGAAATGTATGTGTATTTTTACAAATCACGGATTTGGTGACCAGAGCTTTTGTTAAGTTTTATCATTTGCATGATGTAAATTCATATTGTAGTTATAATGTTGAATAAGAGGATAGACATTGATTCTTTTACATATTTGGTTAGTGGTTTGGAACAGGTACAGCAAAATTAGATCTGGTCATTTGACAGCCATCTTGTACCAGCTCAGGTGGCTGGGAATATACAGGCAATCCCATCCTACCTTCCTTTCCTCCCCCTATTCCCCTTCCCTAGTCCACTAATAGAGGAGGTCCTCCTCTTCTATTTGACTTTAGCCTATCAGGTCTCATCAGGACTGGTTACATTGTCTTTCTCTGTGGCCTGGCAAGGCTGTACCGCACCTCCTTAGGGGGGGGGGAGGTGCTCAGAGAGCCCTCAGGGCTCAGGTTTTATGGCTAAGTTGGTCTCCTTTTGGAGTTCCTGTCCCCTCCAGCTCTTTCTATCTCCCCCTTATTTCGTAAGTTCCCAGCACTCTGCCCAAAGTTTGGCTATGAGTCTCAGCCTCTGCTTCAAAACCTCAATCAGTAGAGTCTTGCAGAGGCTGTCTGTGGTAGGCACCTGTCCTTTCCCTGTCTTCTCCTACTTCTGTTGTCTATCCGGTTTGCCCTTCTGAGTGAGGATTGAGCATCTTTGCTAGGGTCTTCCTTGTTTAGCTTCTTTAGGAGTATAGATTTTAGTATGTTTATCCTATATTATATGTCTAATATCCACTTATGAGTGAATATATACCATGTGTGTCTTTCTGCTTCTGGGTTACCTCACTTAAGATGATCTTTTCTAGTACCCACCATTTGCCTGCAAATCTCATGATTTTCTTGTTTTTAATAGTTGAGCAGTATTCCGTTGTGTAAATGTACCACAATTTCTGTATCCATTCCTACAGTGAGGGACATCTAAATTGCTTCCAGTTTCTGGCTATTACAGATAAAGCTGCTGTGAACATGGTTGAGCAAATGTCCTTGTTGTATAGTTGGGCATATTTTGGACATATGCCCAGGAGTGGTATAGCTGGATCTTGAGGTAGCACTATTCCTAATTGTCTGAGAAAAGTGCCAGATTGATTTCCAAAGTGGTTGTACAGTTTACATTCCCACCAGCAATGGAGGAGGGTTCCCCTTTCTCCACATCCTCTCCAGTATGTGTTGTCACTTGAGTTTTTGATCTTAGCCATTCTGATGGGTGTAAACTGAAATCTCAGGGTCATTTTGATTTGCATTTCCCTGATGACTAAGGACATTGAACATTTCTTTTAAGTGTTTCTCTGCCATTTGATATTCCTCTATTGAGAATTCTCTGTTTAGCTCTGTTCCCCATTTTTTAATTGGATTACTTGGTTTGTTGGTGTTTAATTCCTTTAGTTCTTTATATATTCTGGATATTAGCCATCTGTCACTAGGGTTGGTGAAGATTCTTTCCCAATCTATAGTCTGTTGTTTGGTTTTGACGACAGTGTCCTTTTGGTGCTGTTCTAACTGGATGTTACATGTAGAAAAATGCAAATAGATCCATATTTATCACCTTTCACAAAACTAAGGTCTAAGTGGATCAAAGACCTCAACATAAAACCAGAGACACTAAACCTGTTCAAAGAAAAAGTGGGGAAGAGCCTTGACCTCATTGGCACAGGAGACAACTTCCTGAACAGAACACCAACAGCACAGGCTCTAATCAATAAATGGGACCTCATGAAACTGAAAAGCTTCTGTAAAGCAGTTCTTTATATTGATTCTTCCACGCCTATGTTAACTTAGAAGAATATGAATGCAAAGGACAGTGTATGTAACACTTCATTGTAGTTTTGAAAAGGTTTTCAGGGTCTTTGGTAGGAGGCTTAGGTTTAAACAAAGGGCAAGAAGCATGCATAATTAACCATTCCCTTTACAGTCTGGTCCCACTCACCATTGTCTCAGCTGTTTCTCCTGCAGGATTGTCTGAGGAGACAACCCCCACCCTTGCCTGCCTGCCATCAGGATTCTAGTCTTTTCCTATTTCTTGGGATTCATTCTTTTAGTAGTTTGATGGCCAAAGTGAGTAGCACTAGTGTCTCTTGTGAACACCTTTACTGTCCTCAACAACATTGTGAGAATACAAAGCTTTTGGTACTGTTCATAGTATTAGCCAAAAATGCTCATTCTTTGAATTACTTTGTGTTCTGAAACCGGAACATTGTGGTCCTCTAACAGTTAATATGTGGTTAGGTATAGAAAATTAAGTGACTTTTTCCAACAATCAGATTTGTTTGATGTTCCAATGCAAATGTCCTGCTGTGAAGCCAGAAAATCAAGACAGAACGAGGAGAAAACTTTTGGCAAAGTTTCTGGCATCACTCTAAAAAGTACCATTTCTTTGTGGGTCATTACTTTGTTTACTTTTTTAAGTTGTTTTCAATTTTATGTATGTGGATATTTTGCCTGCATGTGTGTCTATGTGCCATGGACTTGCTGTTTCTGAGGAAGCCAAAAGAGGTCATCAGACCCTCTGGTACTGAAGTTAGAGAAGGTTGTGAAGCACTGTGTATTTGCTGGAAATCAAACTGGTCATCTAGAAGAACAGACAGTGTTCTTTACCCTGAACCATTTCTCCAGCCCCTGGTTCTCTGCTTTTATTCACTAGTATTACTTCATTTTTTTTTTTGAGCCTTTTTAAATGAAAATTCTGTCATTACCTTGTCTCTGGTAAAATATATGGAAATAGCAGTTAAGAGGATAGATGTAGGATAGAGAAAATTAAAAGAAAAGTGAGCTTTGGATTGTTTACAGTTAACCCATTCCCATTTATCTTTTGAGTTTTTTATTTTTATTTTTATTAATTATACTTTATTCACTTTGTATCCCCCCCATAATATCTTTTGTTTTTTAACACTATCTTTTCTTTTGATCTGAAATTTGCTGAATTGTTTTGTTTTTGCTTTCTAGGTGATGGGAATTGCAATGACACTAGAGGCTTAGAAATTGCAATAAATCAACGTGTTGATGATGCACTCACTTCAAAACTGCCCATGTTTTACTTGGTCAACAGACCTCACATTAGCTTAGTGCCCACTGCATATCCACTGCAAATAAACTTGGACCACAAATCACTCAGTTTGAACTGGGCACAAGGGGACAATTCTTTGGAGATTGTGGATGGCCTAAGTGGGAAGATCACTGAAAGGTTAGAATTACTACTTTCTCTTTAAAATAAAAAATCATATATTAAGCAAAAGAAGGTATTTTATTGAAATAAAAAAATAACAATTCTATACATTATTTATTAAATTCTGAACAATTTTTATTGGGAGTGGAGAGGTTGCTGACATCATATTCACTATAAATTCCTTTTTTTTTTAAGTAATATAAGCTTAGAGAAGTTATATAAGAAATGATGAAGCCAGCCTTTAAACCAAAGGAGTCTGGCTCTAGACCCTGTGTGTGTTAAAACGTCATCTTTTATCAGAATCATAGAATTTGTTCTACTAAATATGAATTTCTGTATCTAAGATTAGAAATCTGTATTTTTTAACATTCTATCCCAAATAATATGGACACATAAGTGTAAAAACTATTATAACATGTTATATTGCCTTCTATTATGATAGCTATGTTAATCGCATATGATTTTTCCAATATTTTATCTAATCACTCCTGTAGTTAGGATTACAAACTGGAATTCTAATCTAGACATTTCCAAAGACATTGTTTCCAACCATACTGTTCTATGACTTCCAGATATTTCTTTGTAATATTCCTGCAGTTTATTATTGAATAAAAATAAAACCTTCTAGTACTTATGTATGTACTTTTTAAATGAGCAGTGAGTCATGTTAAAAGCTCAGTGCCCAAGGGAGGAGAAGTGTTTTTTCCTCAGGCCTATAGCCATGATAAGTTATCTAGATGCAGTATATGACCCTGTCCCCATGCACACACAAGCAGCCCTGAGCAGGCCAAGCCAGTGTGTGTGTATGTGTGTGTGTGTGTGTGTGTGTGTGTGTGTGTGTGTTTCTGTGCTTTTTATGTTTTCCTTTTGGAACAACATTTAATCAAGACCAATACTACTATTTCTTGGCATGAATATCATCAAGCATAATACTCCAGATAAAGCCAAGAATACCACAGACTACTCTTAGCAGAGTTAATGCATTGCCTGGGCTTTGGATTGTATAGATTCAACTTTACAAAATCAAACAATTTGAAAATATTTTAAAACTCAGATAATAACGGTGTGACAAAATGGGATATATTAATGTGAAATTGGCTTAATTTTTTATTATGGCTAAGGATTTGCAAATAATGAAAATAAATCAGTTGATGTGTCCAACTCTTAAGCTATGGGAATTTTAGTTCCAAAAGACTCACAGTAAAGCAAAAAAGCCTAGTCTAGTGGTGCTGATCCTGATACCAGAGAGGAGAAAACAGGGAGGGTCCTGAGTTTAGACCAGCCTGAGCTTTTTAACAAAAAGGTACTTGGTTTTTGTTGTGGTGGTGGTTGTTGCTGTTTCTGTTCCTGTTGTTAGATTTTTAGGTATTTTGAGCCCTAAAGGACTCTATCAAAAGAAAAAAAATATTAAAGCCAGGGTCTCCCTGTCTAACCCAGGCTAGACTGGAGCTCAGCAATCCCCTGACTGCCTCCACAAACTGCTGAGCTTAAAGGCACAAGCCACCATACCAAGCCTCCCAAAAATGTCTTAATTTTTTATTGAATTATGTATGTATCACATTTTTATTACCCCTTCTTCTACTGAGGGGTGTTTAGGTTTAGATTGTTTCAATTTCCTGACTATTATAAATATAGAGCAGCCCATGAACATGGCTGATCTCATATTTGTGGAGTAGGTTATCAAGTTCTTTAGGTATATGCCCAGGAATAGTATAGCTGGGTCAAGTAAGAATTTTTGTTGTTGTTTACCTGTATGGTTTTAGTTTTAAAAATGTATTATTTATTACAATTTATTCCCTTTGTATCCTGGCTGTGCCACCCCTCTCGTCTCCTCCCAATCCCTCCCTCCCTCTTCTTCCCCTATGCTGCCACCCTAGACCACTGATAGGGGAGGTCCTCCTCCCCTTCTGTCTGACCCTAGCCCATCAGGTCTCATCAGGAGTGGCTGCAATGTCTTCCTCTGTGAACTGGCAAGGCTGCATCCCCCAGGGAGAAGTGATCAGAGAGCCTGTCACTGAGTTCATGCCAAAGAAAGTCCCTGTTCCCCTTACTAGGGAACCCACTGGGAGAATGAGTCTGTGGGCTTGGGCTACATCTGAGCAGGGGTATTATTAGATCCTCTCCATGCATGTTCCTTGGTTGGGGTGAAGTCCTCTCTACAGCAATTAGACATCTAAAGAAAATTAAGGGAATACAAAGCAGAAGGGAAGAAGTCAAAGTATCATTGTTTGCAGATAATATGGTAGTATATATGAGTGACCCAAAAAATTCTACCAGAGAACTCCTTTAGCTGATAAATACCTTCAGCAAAATGACTGCATACAAAATTAACTAAAAAAAAAAAATCAGTAGCCCTCCTGTATACAAAAGACAACAAGGCTGAGAAAGAAATTAGGGAAACAACACCCTTCACAATAGTCACAAATAACATAAAGTATCTTGGTGTGACTAACCAAGCAAGTGAAAGACCTGTATGAAAAAAACTTCAAGTCTCTGAAGAAAGAATTAGAAGAAGATATCAGAAGATGGAAAGATTTCCCATGCTCATGGATTGGTAGGATTAACATAGTGAAAATGGCCATTCTGCCAAAAGCAATCTACAGACTCAGTGCAATTCCCGACAAATACCAAAACAGTTCTTTACAGACCTTGAAAAAACAATTCTCAATTTGTTGATGTTTTTAAGGATTTTCCCTCCTGTTTTCCAGAGTAGCTCTACCCATTTGCATTCCCATCCAAAAGTTAGTAAGTTTAAGTGTTCCTCCTTCTCCACAGCTTCCCTAGCACTTGCCCTTTGTTTTTATCTTAGTCATTCTGCCTGGGGTTAGATCGCAAAGTTCTTTCAGTTTGCACTTTTCTATCTGCTCAGTAAATTAGATCTAATTTTTGTCCTGGGTGATAAATAAAGGTCTAATTTCAGTCTTCTGCATGTGGACATCCAGTTTCCCCAGCACCATTTGTTGAAGATGCTGTTCTTTCTTCAGTGTGTGGTTTGCCTCTTTGTCAGTCAGATATCAGGTAGCTATAGTTAGGGTGCACGTGTGCACAGGTGCACGCACGCATGAGGAGGAGGAGGATGAGGAAAAGAGGCTGTCAACGTGAGATGACAACATTGGATAGGCTGGAGGAAAGCAAAGGGAGGTCATTTTATTTCAGTTAAAGATTTTTAAACAAGCAAACAGAAAGCAACAAAAAACTAAGATTAAACAAAAAAAAAGAAAGAAAACATCTAAGTGCCAAAGATGGCTTAATGGTTGAGAGCAGTTGCTGATCTTGCATAAGACAGGAGTTTGATACCCAGCACCCACATGGGGTGGATCAAAATTACCTGTAACTCTAGTTCCAGGGGATTTGACTGCCTATCTGGACTCCAAGAATACATAACATGTATGTATGCATATTTGCATATTCATTCACACACACATAGATAAAAAAAATTCAGGACATCCGTGTGTATGTGTGTGAAGACAGAGCCTCCCTATGTAGGCTAGTCTCAGGTTTGTTTGGTTTGGTTTGTTTTTTTGGTTTTTCAAGACAGGGTTTCTCTGTGTAGCCCTAGCTATCCTAGAACTTGCTCTACAGACCAGGCTGGCCTAGATTTCAGGAATCCACCTGCCTCTACCTCCCAAGTTCTGGGAGTAAATATGTGCACCAGAACACCTGACTAGTTTTTCAGCTATCTTGTCTCAGCCTGTTAAGTATTAGGGTTACAGGTGTGATCCTGTATCCCTGTTAAGTGTTAGGGTTACAGGTGTGATCCACCATGCCTGTCATGAATCCACCAATCCTTAATGAAATGTTCATGTTGTACTTGAAACATGTTGAAAGATTACTTCCTCCCCAGTATACACACAGAATTTACAAAAAAAGCTTCCAAATCAAAACTGCAACAACAACAACAAAAAATCAGCAGCATATTAAAGTAGTTAGACGTTGTATACAGCAGTACTAATTGAAGTTTTTCCACAAGTTTGAGAGTGGTAACAGAGGTGACACCAAACTATAAATTTCTTATCACCATTTAGTCATATCGTTATTCTACTAGAGCATATAACAGAGGTTTTCTATGGAGTAAAAGTAAAAAGAATAATAGATGGTTTGTTGCAGAACAAAATACAGCCTTATTGACTCAAAAATACTGTCGTGATTGGCGATGTCAGGATGCTTAACATCAATATGCTGGATTAGAGAAAAGTGAGAAACAAAATATCAGGTCAAAGGAGGTAAAACTGCCACTGTTAGGAGGATTTTGAAGGCTGAACCCAGCACCTCACAAACACTAGGCACATTCTCTTCTTCTTTGTTCTCCCTGTTATGCTGAAAAGCCCAAGAAATTTACAGAAAACCTGCTAATATATATGTACAGAGATCTTTAGATTTCATCATAGACATGAGTGCATGCTAACATTTGCTACATATAAACCACCTCAAAATTCAGTGGTTTAAAACAACAGTGTATTGTTACTTCTCAATAAATGTTTGGATTGGCTGAATGATTCTTCTGGATCTGGTTAGAACTCCATCAGGCATCTGGAGTCAGCTGTGAGTCAACTAAGTCATTTTGGTTGATCTCACAAAGGTATATCTGTTCTTTGCCCTTTAGTAGTCTAATCCCAGACCACTTGCCTAAACATGAAGGAGTCTCAAGAGAACATAGGGCATATTTTCTCTTTGTTCGCCATAACAAATCATAAGGCTAGCATAAATTCAAGGAAATGAGTAGCTCTGAAAAGCTACATGGAAACCTAGAGGATGGGGGGTTTTAACAGTTTTGATCATCTGTTGCAAGAACAACTAATAAATTATAACAAGGGAAAAGTTACTTTGTACAAAGCTTTGTGCTCTGCAGAAGCAGTTCTAATAGAACAGACAATAATTAGCGCACGCATGTGCATGCACACAGGCGTACATGTGTGGATGATTGTGAAGTCGTGCTTTCTAAATTAAAGTCGCTGAGAATTCACAGTATAATTTCAGACTTGATACATGTATCCATTCATATCGCCTATTACTATCATCAAAATTCAGTGGTTACCATCACTCCAGAAGGTATTTCCAGACTGCATTTTAAGTTAATCATGGGAGAATCACTGCTTTAATTTGTATTACTGTAGATTGATTTTACTTCAAATAAATTTTCTGTTTTAACTTTTGATGTAGTACAGTAACAAGTTGAAGTAACTTCTGACAGCAGTGAAGTACTGAGGATGTTTCTTATCTAACAAAAAACTTCACTGCATGCATTCTTCTGCCTAACTAGGATCACAAATATTTGTGAACTGTTACTTAATCCCTATAGTTGCCAATAAACTACTAACTGATCACTGCATGTTTCATTTCTTTCAACTTTAGTTCCCCGTTTAAAAGTGGTTTGTCAATGGCAAGTCGGCTTTGTAAGGCTGCAATGTTAAGTCGATTTAATCTGCTTGCCAAAGAAGCTAAAACAGATGATTTACTTGAAGCTCGGACATACCACGCAGCTAAGGTAAAGTGATCACAAAAGTACAGCAATGTGGTGAATGCATGGAGACGGCAAAAGTTATTAAATAGTTTTGAATATAACACATTGCAGTACCTATTTTGTTTAACACCTTTTCGTTATATCCAGAGAAACAAACAATAAAACTTTTTTCTGCATGGCATTATTAACTATAGAATGTTAAGTCTTACAATAATATATTCCTCAAGACAAGTTTAATTCCAGGCCCTAATTTGGACATGATTTAGGAGATAATATAGTTTTTTTTTTCTTTCTAAATACATTTTTGGGGACAGGAGGGATAGATTGTTCAAGGCAAGCACTGACTCACTGACCTAAAATTACAGCACATACCGAATTTTATTTATTAAACTTTCATTTAGTATGGTATGTCATATGCACACTACCATGTTGCCATTAGTATTTGGATTTTTCTGATTTTAACAATACAGTGTTGTCTGAAAGTCTCTTAATTTTTCCAGCACTGTAATGATCAAACTATACTTTTTATCTATAAAGAATTCCAGCCGCCTGCGGGGAGGGAGGAAACAGCTTTACTGCATTCTTTTCCTACCCACAAAGATACAGTTGCTAGGAAACCAGCCCAGATAGCCCCTCTTCCCTAGGACAGCCAAACAAGGGAAGCCAAGACAGTTAATGGTTTGAGGACCTTCCTATAGCCAATCAGTTCAAAATGTAACATCCCCTTTTGTGTTTCAACCAATAGACACTTGCCAGGCAGGAATTCTCCTGGTTTGGGCACCCTGGGAAGGACTGGAATCTTCAAATCACCTGCCCACCCTGAGCATGAGGCTCTCAGCCCCTGCAGTGGTGAGAGTGTGAGCCCAAGCTATACCTTGTAATAAAAAAAATCCTCATGTGTTAAAAAAACAAAAAAAAGTTACATCAACTACAGGCCTGTATATATAGTTCCACTTAAAACCATATCAATTACAAGCCTACGTGCATATTCACATATTATACCAAACACAAGCCTATATATACACTTACACTAATCACAAGTCTATGTACGCATACTCACAGTTAAATCAACTACGAGCCTGTGTACACATACCCTTTTGCAGTAATATCAACTGTAAATCTATGTGCATATTCCCACATACAGTTATACCAGCTATAAGCCTTGGTACACATACCTACATACAACTAAATATAAGCTTCTCTGGATCATTGCCATTTTCAATGATGTAAAAAGGCTATAGGTCTTTTTGTAAAAACTATAAAAACTGAACAAAATAGTAAAAAACACCCTCTCATAACTCTGGAAATTAATTAAAGGTAAAAAAATTCAAATAACAAAATTATATATTTTTGAAAAAATGCTAGAAATTTAAGAATAAGAAAATTATGTTCTTTCCTGGAGCTGCTCTCATTCTCGTCTTCATCTCTCTCTAGTTTGAATGGCAGGTAGTATAGTTTTACTAGAATGAAAATACCACTGAAGTCATAGATTTCCTGCCAGAGGTAGTAAACTTGATATTGGACAGAGGATAACAATTTGTAGGGTTTTTTTTTTTTTTTCAGCTTTAGGTACCAAATAGTAACATCCATTGGAAATGATTTGCCTTAAGCTGTTTGCAAGGGCACAGTATTTTAATCTTCAGCTGTTGGGTTGTTTTTCTTCCTTCTCTGCCACAGAGAAGGGGACCTTTGAGACAGACATGCTTGGACAGCTCTAATTCCAGGTCCAGCTTCTTAGTTAGCTCAAACAGAAAATGATATGTTACTAATATAATGTAAACATTACATCATTCTAGCCATTTATTAGGGTAAGTAAAAACTATAATAAATCTATACCTGAAATAGTAGCTAAAATTTATCATTTGGAATTTCTTTAAAAGCTAGATCAAAGCAGACCTTTAATCCCAGCACTAAGTAAGCAGAAGCAGGTATATCTGTGAGTTCATGATTAGCCAGGCCTACATTGTGAGTTCCAGGACATCAAGGGCTACACAGAGAAGCAAAACAAAACAAAACAAAAGAGCTAGATCATATGTTAATTTAGAATTATCACAGATAAGACTCTCTTGTTTTTGTTTTTATGTATGTGTTTATGTATGAATTCTGTGTATATGTGCATACCTGTGGAGAACAGAAAAGGGCATCAGATCCTCTAGAGCTGGAGTTAAAGGAGGTTGTGAGCCACCTGATGTGAGTGCTGGGAACCAAAAGTGAGTCCATTGAAAAAGCAGCAAGCACTGTTAACTCTGAGCCATCTCTCCAGCCCCTGTATAAAAACAATATAGAAAAGTAAATTATATACCTACATCCTGAGAATGAATACTCCAAAAGTCAATTTTAGAAAGCCATTTCACACAACAGCAAATATACGAACACACACAATAATAAATTTAACAAAAGAGCTATTAACACTTTTGTACCAGAAGTAATAAAATACTGCTGAAAGAAATTAAAGAAGGTGTAAATAATGAGAAGATGTACCAAATCCATGAATTGGAAATCTCAGTGTTGTTAGGATGGCAGATATCTCCAAATTGCCTACTGCCTCAGTGTAGAAATCTGTATTGCTACTGACATTCTGTAGGAATGTGCAACTGTGAAGTTTACAGTAAAATCCAGAAGCTAAAGAAAATCAAAGCAATTCTGAGCAAGAACAAGTTGGAAAACTTGCCTGTTTCACAATTTAAAGTAGACACACCTTGGAAATTGCAGGTTTGGTTCCAAACCATTTAATACAGGGAGTCACACAGTTTTACGACCATGTGTATAACAGTTACCTTTGTGTAGTACTGTAGTCTAGTAAGTGTGTAGGCAACATCATTTTGCAGCCAGCTTTGATAAGACCTGTTAGGCTAGGATCACCTAGAAGGGGAAGAGGTCCTCCCCTATCAGGCGACTAGGGAAAGGGCATAGGGGGAGAAGAGGGAGGGTGGGTGGGACTAGAAGGAGATGTGGGAGGGGCCTGCAGCCGGGATATAATGTGAAAATTTGTAATAAATTAATTAATTAAAAATAAAAAATTATTTCAATAAAAAAGCAGAAAAATTTTTTGACTTTAATAGTTATACTTTATTCACTTTGTATCCCCCCATAAGCCCCTCCCTCTTCCCCTCCTAATCCCACCTTCCCTCCCCCTTCTTCATGCATGCCCTTCCCCAAGTCCACTGATATGGGAGGTCCTCCTCTCCTTCCTTCTGATCTTAGTCTATCAGAACACATCAGGAGTAGCTGCATTGTCATCTGTGGCCTGGTAAGGCTGCTCCCCCCTCAGGGGGAGGTGAACAAAGAGCAGGTCACTGAGTTTATGTCAGAGGCAGTCCCTCTTCCCATTACTATGGAACCCACTTGGACACTGAACTGCCATGGGCTACATCTGTGCAGGGGTTCTAGGTTATCTCCATGCGTGGTACTTGGTTGGAATAGTAGTCTCTGGAAATACCCCTGTGTTCAAATTTTCTGGTTCTGTTGCTCTCCTTGATTATTATCATTTATTACAATTTATTCAATTTGTATGCCAGCTGTGGCCCTGTTCCTTGTCTCCTCCCAGTCATGCTCTTTCTCCCCTCTTGTCTACCTGTGCTCCTCCTTTTCTCCACTGATAGTTCATATAGATGGCTGCTGTTTAGAAACAGAGCCTCTCAGTATATAGCTCAGGCTAGCCTAACTGTCAGCAATCATGCTTTCTCCCCATGTGCTGGAAAGGCTACAGTTTCTCAAGACAGCAGTGAGGTTTATTACAGTAATCATTTTTTTTTCTTGCACGATTTCTGTGGAGGATGTTTTTATAGCATTTTAAGCCAAGTAGAGCTTCTTTCAAACCTTGCCACTGTTCATCAAGTAAATTTAAGTTGTATTCTAAGTTCTTTGTTGTTATTTCAACAACGTTCACAGCCTCTACCAGAATAGAACCCATCTTAAGTACATAAGAGGTTGAGGAAGGAAGGTCGTGAATTTGAGACAAGCCTGAGCTACATAGAAAGACTTTGTCTCAAAATAATAAAGATATATACATCTTCAGTAAACCATACTGTAAGCAGATGTGCTTCCATCCAGACTGCATTGTTTTATTCCTAAATCACAAAAATAAATTTAATATGATTCTTTTGATGGCTATAAGAATTTCTGGGTAGTAAATTAATATTGGCTTTCATTTTTAGCAAGTGTCTGATTAACAACAATCAAGTTATTCTTTGAAACTTTAAGCCAGGCATGGACTTACCTTTAAGTCATAGATGATATCTTCTTCAAGGTAGAGCTGATTTCTCTATACTGAACAGTGTGTAATACAGTCACATTGGCTAGTTCTCTGAGCTGAGGAATTTGCTTCAGCTTCTTCATCAGCACTTAACTGTTTCACCTTGCACTTTGATGGAGTCAGGCTCTTTCCCTAAACCTCATGAACAACTGTAGTCCAGAAGATGGACCTCACCAAGTGCTACCGATGATTTGTATAAATGAAGCCTGACACATTACTGTGAAACCAAAAAAATGGTACAGCCACTGGAAAACAAATTTGCCCCTGCCCCGCCCTGCCCCAGGTAAAACATATTTGCCATGTGATTCAGCAGTGCCATTGTTATTTATGAGAAACAAAACTTACACGAATGTTTATAACTCCATTTTCCTAATATTAAAAACTGGAAACATTGCAAGATCATAAGCTGTGATAGACTCATACAATGGTGTTAATCGACAACAAGAACCAATCCTGACATGAAATAGCATGAATTGGAAAATATTGTGCTAGCCTAACGTAGCAGAATGTTTACTGTAGTGATCAACTTATATGAAACTTCTAGGAAAAGAAATCTAGAGAGAAAAAAAATGTAGTTGCCTGGGGCTAGGGTCAAAGGTGGGGGTACAGACTGACTGCAGGTGGGCGCAGTGGAAGGTTTAGAGGTGGTGAAGTTGCATTACCACTGGATTTTGGTGACACTTGCACATCCCAATAACTTGAACAAAGACCAAATTGCAGTGGGTAAGTTTTGTACTAAATCAGACTTCAGTAAAGGAAGCCTTTTAAAGGAATATACATGTTCATTTATACAAAATGAGAACACATGAAAATAGCAATGGTAGTTTAGTTTCGGTGTTTAAGTTTTTCTGTCGTGAATTTATTTACCCTCAATTAAAACATTAAGTAACAAGCAAAATTGCCTGTTTAGGCATGTTGGGAAAGAATTGCTTTAAGTTAGCACAGAAATTCAGAGTTTTTTCATTACATTTTTTAAAATGTAGAGTTAAGCAGTATGGGGTTATTACTTTGTAAGCCGAGTTGATACAATTCAGCTTTTCCTCTCTCTAGTGCATGTCTGGACCCTATCAAGAAGCTAAAGCACTATTGAAGGCCTACTTGCAGCAGCACGGTTATGGCTCCTGGATTGTGAAGTCTCCCTGTATAGAGCAATTTAGTATGTGAATTAGACAACATGTTGTCATATTAAAAATCTTTTATTTTTGGTGTGTTTGACTGGGAAAAATGTTTTAAAATATAGGGACTTTAGCCTTCACAGTGGAAGTTTTGCAACAACAATGTCCAGGTATTGCTAAAAATGTGTAAATACTCGTGTCACCTTGCATTGAAACATTATGCTCCTTTGCCTTTTATAAAAAGAATTACCTGACTAAACATGTAGACATTTTCCATTATTTTTATAGACATAAAGCTATTGCAACCCTTACAAAGTTTAAGCAGCCATTAACCTTTTAATGGCTATAAAAGAGAATTCATATTCCTTTCTCTTTACTTTAAATTTCTCTATTCACATGTAATATCCAACGCTGTATCTGGTATACCATTATAGGTTTTTATAATTAAAAGTGAAAGACAAGAATAAAAATAATACTAACTGACAAGTTTAGCAGGCATCTGAGTGTATGATTTATACCACTCACCCTGCTTGGTGATTCAGGAGTTCATGAATAAACTCCACATACAAATACTGACTTAATCACGAAAGGAAAGAGTCTGGTAAATCATTATGATTAATGATATTCTTTAAAAAGAGTTCCCATTTTAAGCAGCCTTTAGGACTTATAACATATGTAATTTACTTTTTTATAATTAGATTAGTAGATAAATTAGGGAAATAAAGTATTGTTGAGAGAAATACATCTTTGTTTATACAGTAGTTAGATAAAAGAGACAGCTTAATCACTTAGTATTTTTCTTTATTTTTCCATCAGGGCTTTATCAAGCATTATTGGTTCTCAAATTTGCCCCTTGTCCTACTCACCCTACACAAGCTCTTGTCTCTGATGACATTGTTCTACTCTAAATGTGTGCTGAAACCAATCTGTAAAGACACTGATGTCTTTGGATGCTTTAGACTCTACTTACTAGGTTGAGTCATGGGGAACTGCATTTTTATAGGATACAAATGATTAAACTATGGGTAGTTTCTTATAGATCAATGTAAATATATTAGCAAATTACATCTTAGACAGTTTTATGATAGTTATTGATTTTTTGCTTATTTTTCTAGTTGACGTTTTCTTATAAATATTTATTTTTTATTTTTGAAATTGTAGCCACTTTTTTCTCAATTTATTTATTTGTTTAATCACTTTACAGCCTGATCCGAGCCCCCCTCACTCCTCTCCTCCCAGTCCAACTCTCACACTCCCCTCCTCCTATTCCTCACTTTCCTTCTCAGAAAAGGGAAGGCCCTGAAGGGGTACCAACCCACCCTGGCACTTTAAGTTGCAGCAGGACTAAGTGCATCCTCTCTCACTGGGGCCTGGCAAGGCAGTCCAGCTAGGGGAAAGGGATCCAGTGGCAAGCAACAGAGTCAGAGACAGCCCCTGCTCCCATTGTTAGGGGACCCTCATGATGATCAAGCTGCACAACTGCTACATATGTGTAGGAGGTCTAGGGCCAGCCCATGCATGCTCTTTGGTTGGTGGTTCAGCCTCTGTGAGCCCCCATGGGCCCAGGTTAGTTGATTCTGTATGTCTTCTTGTGATGACTTTGACCCCTCCGCGTCCTTCTGTTCCTCCTACTCCTCTCTGAACTTGGCCTATTCTTTGGCTATGGGTCTCTGTATCTGTTTCCATAAGCTGCTAGATGAAGCCTCTCAGAAGACAGTTATGCTAGGCTCCTGTCTGTAAGCATAGCAGAATATCATTAATAGTGACAGGGGTTGGTTCTTTCCCATGGGGTAGGTCTCACTTTGGGTCAGCATTGGTTTGCCATTCCCTCAATTTCTGCCCCAACTTTACCCCTACACTTCTTGTAGGAAAGGCAAATTTTAGGTCGAAGGTTTTACGGGTGGGCTGGTGTTCCCCTCCCTCCACTGGGAGTCCCACCTGACTAAGGAGGTATAAAAAGAAGTTAAACACCAACAAACCAAATAGCCTAATTTAAAAATGGGGTACAAAGCTAAACAGAGAATTCTCAATAGAGCCATCTTTAAATGGCAGAGAAGCACTTAAAGAAATGTTAGTAATCAGGGAAATGCAAACAAAAATGACTCTTATACCTGTCAGAATGGCTAAGAAACAAAAACTGAAGTGACAGCACATGCTGGAGAGGATGTGGAGAAAGGGGAACACTCCTCCATTGCTGGTGGGAATGTGAACTTGTACAACTTTTATGGAAATCAATCTGGAGGTTTCTCAGAAAATTGGGAATAGATATACCTCAAGACACAGCTATACTAGCCCTGGGCATACACACAAAAGACGCTCCATCATACTGTAAGGACACTTGCTCAGCCTTGTTCATAGCAGCTTTATTTGTAAATATTTTTTAATCTTTTTCATATAAGCTGCTTTCTTTCATGAAACATTTTAACTTTTTTTTAAAAAGTTTTCTGCTTAGTAGTTAAATTGCCTTTGAAACTCAAAATGCATCACCTTCTCTTGGCCCCTCACATTTATAACATCTGGGAAAGCAGATGATTAGTCTCTGAAATCTGCCTAGTCAAGGATCCTAATTCTGTCCTGCAATGGCAATCAGCAAAATAGGATCTTTTCAAATTTGCAGTTTTGAGGGGGAAATAAGACAATTATAACCCGGTTGTTTTACAGACAGAACTATTTTTTAAGTTAAACATTTTATTTTCATTGTTAGGGCAGGGCCATGTGCACAGAGAGTGCAGGAACCCATAGAGTCTAGAAGAGAGTGTCAGACTCCCTGGAGCTGGAGTTACAAGTGATTGTGAGCTAGCTGCTTGATGTGGGTTCTGGGGATCAATTTCCTCTCTTCTGTAAGACCCATCTATACTTATAACTGCTGAGCCATCTATCAGCCCGCAGAGAACTTTTTATCCAGAACCTAGTCATTGAATGTGTCCAGGTACTATTTCTACACATAGGAGTTTGGTTTAGGGAAGCAGAGTCTGTGTAGATGTTGTCCTAGGAGAAACCCTATAAGGAATAAAGAGAAGGCAATTGGTTTATGGCAATGAGTCAACAGAATGGGGAGGGAATGGTCTTCTAGGCCTGCTAATTGCAGCCCCAGGAAAATCAGCACAATTTGACCACCACCCCTGACTCCCTTCAGCCATAGAGGGCCCTGCCCCAGTCCCAGCACTCCGTTCACTCAAGTGCTATAGTTGATGCAGGAATCTTTTTAATCTGATTTTACCTACTGCAAATAATTGTACTATTGTAACACTTATGTCTTGGTTCATTAACCACACCATTCACAGCCCTCTATGCAGTTACTAAAAAGGTATTTAAAATTGCAGCATTTTGTACAGCCAGCCAACTAGGCCTTATAATAGTAACTGTAGGTGTAAATCAACCCTATGTAGCTTTCCTTCACATCTGTACACACACATTCTTCAAAGCTATGTGTTTTTTTATATGCGTTAATTCTTCAGTGCTATATATTTGTATATGATTATTCACATCTTTAATGATGAACAAGACATTCGGAAAATAATCTAATCTATTTACGTCATCTTGTCTAATTATCGATAGCTTTGCTTTAATGGGAATACCTTTCCTTATTGGGTGTTACTCAAAAGACCTAATCATGGAAGCCACTAACATCCAATACCAATGCCTGAGCCCTCAGTTTTCTTTGTCATATACTTAAAAATAAAATTGACTGAAAACAGTGTAATTTCATTAATTTTATAGATTTAGAATTAACATCTTAAGATATCAAATCTTATAATTAATCTTTAGAATTACAGATTTATTTATTTATAACCTTCTATTTAGCTCTGGATGTCTAAATATTTTAACAGGAATATATTTATTACAATTCTTCCCAAATGGCTAATGTTTTCAGTTCTATGTTAAATAGTATTGTTTTAAATACATTCTCTGAGATACTGACAAAATAAAATTGAGCCCATATGTATATTAACCATATCACTAATAATCTATTAAGCTCATCCACTAATCCTAGTATTATTCATGCCAGATCTTTCCTTTATACATCTGTGAGTAACAATTTAACATATTCCTTTTGATCCTTTCCTGTCTTTCTCCTATTCGCCACTCTTGTTTAAACCCATGTTATACCACTGTGCAAAAAAAATGTTGCTGAAACCAGCGTGGTGGTACATACTTGTAACCCAGCACTCAAGAGCAAGAAGCAGGAGAGACATGAGTATAAAGCCGGGGTAAGCTACATAATGACACTGTCTCGCTACACATGATACCCATGTGTGCACATGATAGGACAGCCTGCATGAGTCTGTTCTCTCCTTTCACCAGGTCATTAGGCTTGGTAGCAGTTGCCTTTCCTGCTGAGCTATCTTGCTGGCTGCTGGAGTAGTCTCTACTCAGAGATTAGACTGTGCCCACTCCAGGTTGTTAGGGCTAGATTGCTCTTACTTCTAAGGCATACTCTTCTTGGTTATAGCACATCCCCAGGGTGGCTAAGGGTTTCTTCATTCTGATCTATTGAACCTGGATGTTTTCCAGTCTTCTTTGAGTATCATTAGTTTTTGAGGTTATTGTGTTCTAGTGCACCTCCTTTCCCTGACTGTTATTCATTTAGAGTTGTAAATTCTAATACCTACAAATGTTTGTTGCCCAGAAAATAAAAATCAGATTTTATTAATATTCTGTAGCCACCTTTTATAGTTGCCTTCTTTTTGTTATTGTGGTTTACACATTCCTACCAGGTTGCTTTAGTAAATCTCAACTCTAACCTCTGTTTCTTTAAGTCAGCAAAACTGCATTGCTTTTGTGTGTGTTGTGGGGGTGGCTCAGCTGTGTCATTTCTTGTGTCACATGTCCTGCCTGTGGTTCAGAGTCCCATTTTCATGGGTAGTCATAAGAGGGCTGCTCTAGTACCATGTTCTATCAAGCCTGGATGCAGAAGCCTTTGTCTGTGTACTTGCAAGCTGTGCTCCGATTAGATAGATCAAACTTAGAACCATGGTGTGTTTTTGTTGAATGAACTTGCTGATCATCATACAATTGTGCATTTCTCTTTGCTCTTCTTGCTTTAAG